ATATAACTTTAGCCCGTGACAGCAAAATAATGCCCCTTCTCTCCCCACCTCCTTAAAAGTCCCAAGATAGCAAGCTTTCCTACTGATCCAACTGATTAACTCTTCCTGTCCAAGAGTTTGCAATGGCTGCTAACACACTGAATAGCATATAAATGCCAGAGCAAGCTCTCAGGAATTGGTCTGCCCATTACCCAGATCAGAGTGTCGGCCAGACCACCATGTAACTTTCTGCTACTTCTTTCAACACTCAGATGTGGAACGATGGATTGGTGTCTGAGCAAAGATGCTGTCACCACACACTCTGTGAACTCCAAAATGTCCCTGGCGAGCATACAGCACTATTAGAATATGTTTGACTGGGTTAGATTCATAGAATCATAGAATGGTTTAGGTTGGAAAGGACCTAAAAGATCAGCTAGCTCCAACCCACCTGCCATGGGCAGGCAACCTTCCATTAGAAAAGGTTGCCCAGTCCCCTTCCAACCTGGCTTTGTACAGTTCCAGCAATGGGGCATCCACAACTTCTCTGGGCAACCTGTGCCAGTGCCTCACCACCCCCCCAGTAAAGAATTTCTTTCTAATATCTAATCTAAATCTACTTTCCTTCAGCTTAAAGCCATTTCCCCTTGTCCTTTCACTGCATTCCTGGATTTACATCTGATTTGCAAGGCATCAGAGCTGCTATCTTCTTACATATGACCTCACCCATCTCTTTCAGATGCCATTCCTTGTAACATAAAAGCACATAACCACAGCAAGCAAGGTACTGAAATGATAATTAAGGTATCAGGATCTTCTACGAGTTCTTAAACACATGCCAGACTCTTATACCCTGTCTCTGATACCCATATGATGCATCTTTCAGTCCTTCAGAAATGTCTGTCTGTATATTTTAAGTCTCAGAGGTTTGGTTTTCTTCTCTTTTAATAAATATTTTTTTCCCAAATATTTAGACAATGGTCTGAACTTAGCCTTTCTTAGGCCTTTAAGACATTGCCAGGAAAATCCATGAAACCCAATGAAAAAAACTGTATATGCCATGGACTTGCATTATGATTTACATAAAGGTAACTCCCATCCCATCTGTGGATGCTGCATGCAATTTAGTAAGATTAAAACATTTTCTGCAGATACTAAATTTAAAAGAATAACTTTTCCCCCCCTTTTAATTTGGCATTCAGCTATCCATCAGAGTAAGCAACAAGTGACTTGGCAGATAATTCAGGACATATGGTGTTGCAGAATGGTAATTTAAAAGTACTTGGACAAGTTTCCTCAACTCATTCACATTAATTTGTGCTATTCTCTTTTACATGTGCTCTAGCAGCTGGTACAGCTAAAAAAGCATAGAAAATATAATGACTATAATGCAAGTGACAAAATAACCTTTTCCTGAGTTGTATTAATGTATAGCGCAAAAACCTCATTCACAAACTGAGTAACAGAAGGAGTTCAATGACAATTCAAAGCTGGTAAACATATATGCCTCATCTGCAGTCACCAGGTGGCACCAGATGTATCCATATACTGATAATCAGTTTAAAACCACTATAATCCATGTGGTATTTGAAATGCAAAGCAGATCATGTACGGACATTACGTAGAGCCCTACAGCTGAGTAGTCAATAGACTAGAGAATTTAGATTTAACTTTAACAAGATCTGACTGTTGTTTTATGGTTTGGGTTTTGTTGGGGTTCTGTTAGGGTGTTTTGGGGTTCTTTTTTTGTTTGTTTGGGGTTGTTTTGAGGAGAAAGTGTTAGAGAGTAAGATTGAGTGGCATCTCCTAATTTGGAGATGTTGGCTGGAAAACCTAAAAAAATGCAAAACCATATTATTTTAACTATATGTATTGATTCTTGGTCAGAATTAACACATTTTTACATTTTCCCCCCTTTTCTTTTTCAACATTTACAGGTTTAAAGAATTAAATTTTGGAGAAAAATCATTTCTTTCAAAAGATACATTTCAGCAGTCCTGAAGAATTGTAGCTTTCTGTTGGTACAAGAAGACATTTTCTTCTAGCTTTCTGACATTGTCAATGTGCTCTTGAATTATATAAGAAATTCTATGATTAAAAATGATTTCATTTTACAAATATAGCTACATTATTGTATAAGGTGAAGCTGAAATTAGCCATGTATCATATGTAGGATATTACCTCATTAATAGAAAAATATAGTGAGACCTAATTCATTTACTTGTGAATCATATCAGATTTTTTCCAGCGTCTGAATATTCATAAATTTTATCACTAAAAATATAAGTTCAATTAGTTCAATGTTCAATAATTTTATCACCAACAGTTTATGGAACCTAAACTGTTTCTTGTGCTTGGTTGTATTTAGCACATGCATTTTTCTTTATTTTCTTATCTGTCCCCTCTGGGAATAACTTTTCATCAAGAGAAAAAAACCAACCAACCAACCAACCAAAAAAAACAGCAGAAAGGGTGAAATATTGACCTCACTGAATGGATGGCAAAAATTCCACTAACTTCAAGGGGCCAGGATTTTACCGCACATGACCAGATTTATACAAAGAAGCAAAGAGTCTGAAAATGAATCATCATCTAAACAATATGGCAAATGTTTACAAATAATAGTAATCAAAAAAGTTGTAGTTTGAAACAGTTTCAAAAGGAACTTGATTCTCCAGGGGAAAAAAAAAGTCTATAATTCTCAATGTCCAGATTTTATATCTTTAGCCCATTGCAATGATTTTTCAGCCAGCAGGTACCTTTGGTAACAGTGAATTCATTGTGGAATTACTGCAAAAATGTCATTCACAATTACATTCTCTTCAGCATGCCATTGGCCTAATAATGAACCAATATGACTACCTACACATATGACACCCATAGAAGCTTAATGGTTGTTGGGGTCCCCAGTGCACACAACACCATACACATGTAAATAACCTGTTTGTTTAAAGCCCATTTTTGCATGCACTGGCTTGCAAGCAGTACTTGCATTGGCAATGGGCAAGCCTAGCCTTTTACAGGCACAAAAGGAGATATCTCTGTTCAAACAATTTGTGAATAATATTCATGCTTTACAGTAAAACCCCCATCAAGTGCAACCAGGGAAACCAAGAAAGAGCAGAAGGAGCAAAGCTATTCATACAAGCCAGCAGTGGAATTTGGCACTGAAACAACAAACTTAAGCTTCAGCCCAGAGATCTAACCTCTAGACTGGAGCAAATCAGTTTGTGGCTAATTTAACACTGTAGTATGCACCCAAAAAGTAATCCTACCTTTTGACTGCTATAGCATGAAGCTCACCTAAAACAAGTTTTACTACTTGTATTCAAGCATTTTCAATATAGTAGCTGTGGTACGCATGAAAAAGTAGCCCTGAAAGTCTGAAGAACAGTCTAAAATTTAGGCAGCTATTTTAAGGTGAATTTGTAGACTCTCTCTAGCAAAGCTAAAAAGTGGTTTATGCTGTCATAAAGCATGTAATTGAAAAAGCCATCATGAGGTGCTTTCCAGGGATCTCCATTTTTCTCCATTGCAAAGGGAAACCCAAGGAGCCAGATCAGAGATGAGACCTATCTTTGGATGGCTACCATTAAGTGACATGAACTCTGCTCTGCAAATGGCAACTTCCACTACAGAGGCTGGACAATGGAGAGACAGGTGTTTTGACTGGTTTGGCATGGGGCTGTGCACTAATCATTTTGGGTTCTGGTCATTTTAAAGGAGCTCTGCTTTTACTGTCTAGAAGACAAGACAGGCATATACTATCGTACAAAGACCTACCATATTTCTTTCTTTCCATAACAAAAAAGCATAGAATTTGTGTTAGTTTATCAGCAAAAATTATACTTTTTACCTATTATCTGCAATTATATCCACACCAAGTACATTATACTGTAATTAAAGTATATTGTATGCATTATCTGTGAAAGGGCTGTAATCATTCAACATACTATTCACTGAAATACATTTATAGAGTATCAATAATACATAAAATTTGAAATTGATGAAAATATAATACAATATTATAACTACTTTTAAGGTTTTTCTTCCTAGAAGAGTCCAATGAATATCAGAATTAATGGGCCATATTATCCTGTCTCCACTCTTTTCTTAAAATGAGAAGGCTAACTACTTCCTGGAGATGTCTCTCAAGGCAGTGCAAGGGAAAGCAGAGTAGGTATCACATTATGAATGAGCCTGTAGGTAATGATTTTTTCCTTTGAGAGAAGACAGGAGAAAGGGAGAGGAGTTTGTACCTTTTTAGGTGTACTTGATAGGATGGATGACTACTTAAGACAGGGCTGAAGTTCTGATCAATTCGGTCATGCCTCCCAGTGTTGCCTTGCTGAGCTGGGAGATGATGACCTCCCCATGGAGGGGTTGAAACATTCATTGACTTTTATGGGAGTTTCATAATTAATTCAAATGGACCACATATTACCAGTACTATTCTTTTTGGAATTATTTGCTTCTTTGAATGATTAAAGACTTTCCAGCAGGAATAATGTTATCATTATACAGAGGGGGCTTATGGGAAAGACAAAGAGAGACTTTTAACCAAGGCCTGTAATGACACAGAAAGAGGTAACAGTTTTAAACTGAAAGAGGGTAGGTTTAGACTGGGAAGAAGGAAGACATTTTTTACAGTTAGGGTAGTGAGACACTGGATCAGGTTGCCCAGAGAAGTTCTGGATGTCTCATCCCTGGAAGTGTTCAAGGTCAGGTTGGATGTGGCTTTGAGCAACCTTGTCTAGGGAAAGATGTCCCTGCCCATGTCAGGGTGTTGGAACTAGATGATTTTTAAAGGTTTTTCTGACTCAAAACAATTTGTGATTCTATGATGTCTAAACACAGATTAATACAATGCATACAGCATCAACGTAACTGATTTTTTGATTTTAAATATTTGTGTGCAAGGATGATGGTTGGTTTTGTTTTTCTTTTTGCTTACTCCCTTGGCCCAATTTTTATCTTTACATTAGAGCAGACCACAAACTCAGAGAAAATCCTGCACGTACCTGTTTCTCCCCACTGGGCTTCTTGTGGTTTAACAGCAGCTCCACAGCACCAACTACCTCCTTCCGTATGGCATGCAACAGAGCATCTCCCACATACACATTAAAACTTAAGAGCAGCTCAATGAGCTCAAGGTTCTCATTTTCAATTGCAATAAGGAGTGCAGTTCTTCCCAGGGGATCAATGCAGTTAATATTGATCTTGAAATAAATTTCTGCTTCCTCCAAAGCCTTCTTTACACTGGCATAGTCTCCTTTCTCCACGGCATTCAGATAGGCTTTTTCTGAATGAGACAGTTCAGACTCTGCCCGTACGATGCGAAGAGGGATACGATCTCTGTAGGGAGCATTGACGCTTCTTTTATAGTAGAACTGGGCCATATTTTATGCCATTCTAATACTTTGTCTCTGCAAGATGAAAATAAAGATTAAGTCAATAATTCAGGGGGTACAGTGCACCAAATTAATATTTGCAATATACAGGTATTTAAAACTCATGCTAAAAAGTGATGTTGAAACACATACTATCAATAGAACGTCTAAGATCTGCAAGAGTAGAGGCCAAAATATTGCTTGTTTGTAACATACCAAGTGAAAGCATATCTGTCAGCATACCATTTGCTTGTATGCATTTCTTAGACCTGTGGCAAACATGAAATGACACGATACAATGTAGTTTGCACCAAAAGTGTAGCTCCATTTCATCCTTAATTTCTTCATTCAGTTCCACTACCTCATGTTTCCCACAGTTGAAGAGTATGCTCATGCACAGTTGCCACTGCTCAGTAGATTTAAGGGCACTCACATCTTTTAAGCTTGATTGTAGTGGCTATGTCACCTAGAGATTGGTTCAGTTGCCCGTATAAGCTTCTGAGGCCTCTCTGAGATGCTCTAGTTACGTCATCTGTACTCCAGCATGTCTCAGGTCATTCATGAAGTCTGTGCACGTTTGGTACCTCCATGAAAATGTCTCTGATATCCTACAGAAGCCATGTGTCATTTAAGGGTTGTGTGTAGACAACTAAATACAGCCCTTCCTACCTGTTTCTTTAGGTTGGGCAGAAAGAATATGATAGAATTTGAATAGTTATTAGCATTCACATCTTCCTAGTGCTCAAATTACCTATTTATCTGTGGGAAGACTTATTTTGCACAGTTCAGCGGTGAGCTTCCCTACGAAGATTTTGATTCAATCTCATATGCTATTAGAAAAACATTCACATAAAATGCTTTTCTAAGCAGCACTTACTAATGTATAAATTAAAATTCAGAACTCAAAAGGAAAAAACAAAATCCATAGGAGATAAATTTCCAAGGAGTGGTAGATAATAGTCACAATTTTGATTCTGTACTCTTCAGTTCTAAACCAGAATTAATACAAAAACATAGCAGCTATAAAACAACTCCAAAGTCTTACTTATAAAAAAGCATTTAATGTCTGTCCTTTTATTCTGGATACTTTATTCAAGGAATTTGCAAAAATAATTCCTTCTAACAGAATGATTTTCTCCTTTCTTCTTCTACTTGGGTAAGAAAAAAAAAAGGAAGAGGAAAGAGGGAAGAGAAAAATTTGACCTCAAAGCAAAAAGTACACAAAAAATATTTCCCCCGGCTGTTCAATTAGAGGTTGAACAGTTTATCTGATGAAGAACTGCAGTTTCTTGAAATTATCTCAGCTGATAATGCAAGTTGCAGTAAACCACTGCCTTTTCCTCCACTCCTTACTCCTTGTAGTCATTAAAATCTCTGTTGAGATCCTAGTTTAAAAAGATAATATATGTTTTTATTATTTTTAGGTTTTGATTCATCAAAAAAAAAGTCACTAACAGTAAGTGAGGAACATAGTAATTTATCTTCTCCACTCTTCTTATGCAGTGTGATGAGAGGTAAGTACAAAAGTACGAAGGCTGTTACTGAGTTGTTTTCTTTGTTTTTCAGAGCAGATCAACAGGACTTGAGGCAGGCAGAAGAAAGCAAAGGAGACACATGAGAAAAATTCTCCTCCATATCCAAATACAGGAGCTTGGGAATTGCAATCCTTTTCAAGACGTTTCCCAATTTTCCCAACAAAATGGTATCGGTCTGCAATCTGGGCTACTAGAGGTTGCACAGTTTGTGGATAATGTTCTGTTAATCTCACTCTAAGTAAAATACACTTCAGATTCATTGCACAGTTTTATGCTCCTGGAACAGATATCACATTCTTATGGTTAATGCACTTTTATTTTACCAGTTAGATTTTAATTATTTCCTTTCAAAACTGGATTCAAGAAGGAAAAAAGTATATGTTCAGACCCAAATTAACAGACTTAAGTGTAGAAGTTCACAAGTAGGTATCTACCAGGAAGGTGGGCTGCTACATTCCCATGATAGCCATAGAGATTTACAGCTTCATTCCTCTGCTCACAAATTGTGGTCTGGTACTGGATGCGAAGGGCATCCTACCTGAGTCCAGCTGCCACCTCACAATGACTTCGGTCTCAATAATGACTCTATTTCATATCTGTCAGGCAGACATTGAATAATGCACACACATTATAGACACGTGGAGCAAACTGAGGGACTGCAACTGGAAGGTCAAGGCTATAAACTTCTCTCTCTTGAAAGCACAGAAATTAATAAACAGATCATTATCTCCCTGTTCATTGTGAGTCAAATTAGGAATTAACTTATATCAATGAAACCAGGCATCATAGAGATGCTTATGGTAGAAGAAGAGTAAAGCAACCTATGGATGGGATCTACCATAATTTCACTAGGGTCATTTGGGGATTCCTTGTTTCTTTATTTTTATAAGTGTGAGGAAGATGTATTATTGTCTCACTGTATGCCATAAGGAAAACACTTGTTGGAACCTTTTTTGCTTACCTTCACATGATTCTTGAAAATTAGATCTGAGCTTAGTTTGTCTCTTCTGAAAGAGACACGTTAAAAGCACGCATTGTCATTCTTCCAAATAGCTGTGCTCTGCTAAGCCTTCTTGCCTGCACCACTTCCTGAAAATATCATTGTGCTGGTTTAAAAGTTAACCAGCAGGGGGAATGAACTCAACTCAAAGGAGAGATTATAAGTCAGAATAACAATTTATTAAAATGATACAGTAAGTACAATAATACAAACCAACAATTGGTCTCAACCCACAAAAACCCAAATGTATAACCCAGTGCCCTGGGGCCTGAACAAAGTGGTGTTCCTTGGGCCCTGTTTGAGTCCAAAGTAAAGGGAGAGGGGAAGAACCTGCTGGTGGGAGAGCTGCTGCAGTCTGGCCAGAACTGGTGATCGCAGTCCAGTGGTGGTCTAAGTCTGGTTGAGAGCGATGAGATGCAGCCGTCCTCTGGATCCCACGAGTGGGTTGAAAAATGTTCCAAAACTCCAAGATTATATATCCTCCAGTTCAGGCAGGAATGTTCAGTGCTCCCCTCAGGGCGGGGAGTTCCACAAAGGGTGTGAGGACAGAAACATCCTCCTATCTCACAGGCCTCTTAACACCTAGTTTATAGCCTGAGGAGTCAGGCTCTATGGGCAGAGGGTGCGAATAGTCTATTGACAACAATAGTCTAGTTTCTGGGAAATGACATGGAAGGCTATAGAATACAGTTTTGGGTTACACCCACCATGATGAACTGATCTCAACTGTCCTAACTAGGACAATCATCCATACATAAAGTTTTGTATTAACTAAAAATCTATGTTTACATGCAATTGGAAAGCAGAGATTAATTGCTGATACAGTATGATCCTGGAAGGTGATGTAAACATCAGAAATAATAGTTCATGGGTGTTTACAAAAATAATTTTTTGTTTGTTTGTTTTGTTTACAGGTAGATAGTGTTGTATGACAACTGTTACTGTGCTGTCACATGTAAATGCACGCATATGACAAATTTACATGGGCATATCATGAGAGCTGTAAGTGCTCGGAGTAGCCAGCAGAGCTAAGGAAGTCTCCAATTGCTTTGAGCTTCTCTGCAGGAACTAGAGGCTAAAAAACCAAGAGGTCCAATACACTAGAACAGTGTGAGGAAAAAGAAAGAAAAAAAAAATATGGTTCAAAACTTGAAAAATTGTAACTATAGTCTCCAAAGAGTCCACACATCAGACACATAATAAAAAGACTTCTCAAAAGAAACAAAGACAAAATAACTCTCTAAATAACTACATAGTGCTTCCTGCCATGCCAAGGAAATATCATCAGCACCTGAGCAGGAAAAGTATATAAAAAAGGAAACTGTAATACTTTGACAGAAAATAGATTCTTATGAGACAACATTTTTTTTCTTAACATGCAGTTTTATTTACACCTACTACAGACAACTATTTCAAATTATATGGGAATGGTTTTTTTCAGGTGGGAACAGTAACATTTCACCTTCTTTGAAACCTTTAACATTTGCACTCTATCATTATTTAATAATTTGATAATTCTAAGAAAGTCTGATGTTATGAATTTTACTGATGCTAAATAAACAATAGGACATTTTCTTCTGGTGCTATATTGTGTGTGTATATATATATATATACACACACATGCACATTATAATTCCAGGTACATAGAAATTTCCCCATCAAAGATACAGCTCAAAAAAAAAAAAAAAGGCAATTAGAATTCCTTGGCATTTATCCGACCTCTGTGTTTGCCATATTTGCTTCCTCTACACATATGACCATATCTTCCTTATTTTTCCAGGAAACCCTGACTTGCATTTCCCTTGCATGCTGTCCCCTATGCCAAAACACTATCAATAGCCAGGTGCAGGAGACGTATTGGAGTGACCCATTAACAGGCACCAAGGGCCTCTGTGACAAGCCATTTCCACTGCCAGTCACAGCAACTGTGCTTACGGATTGCAACCCTTTCAGAGACGGGAAAAGACCAATGACAACATATCTTCTTCAGCAGATGAGCAGCTGGAGGGACATGGATGTGCTCCATAGTATCCACATGTGCAATTTCTGAAACCCTCACTGACACTACCCTTCTAAAAATACGTTATTTCCAACATTGACCACTGTTACTATAGCAGCATATATACTATATAGCTTCTTCTCTGATGTCATCAAAAGCACACTTCTGGTTTTGCTCATGAGTTTGTTTTTCAGACTATTTGCATGAAAAACAAACAAACAAACAAACCATTCCCCAAAACTTCATTACTATGGTGTCACCCTACTCGGGAAACCAGAAAACTTACAACAATTGAATAACATGCTGATTTCACTGTTATCTTCTGAAACTATTTTATATGCAATTTTCATGGCAAAGGAAAGTTTCTGACATTTGCTATGTTCATGAAAGTATGAAATTTTCTTTCTAAAATAGACGTGTGACATCCCAGCTTTAATCTGACACAGAACCCTATTTGATACACAGTAAAAATGATGTTCAAAGAGCATTTTGGAAAGCAAGACTGTAGCTCTGATAAATCCCAGTCCAAACGAAGCATAAAGTTCCTTCACTGTCAGTCACTAGAATAGATTGTTTCATTTCAACAAGCACAAAAGAAATTCAAGTAAGTCTTTGATCTCTGAACCCAGCATCAGTCCAGAAACTGGTATATAACCAAAGTTAAACAAATAACTTAAACATGCTTCTAGCATTGAGATCAACTGGATAGGCCGTGCCTATACTGTTAAACATACTTCACCCAAAAATAGGACAGCTGAATGAGAACTGTCTATTGGGAATAATTTGGGGTCCATGCTAACTCCCACACTTTGCCTGAAAATTTCATAGGAAGATGTTCATTGGGCTGAGACAACAATTGGATTGATTCCAGGGACTGCTCAAACAACTTCAGCTGCAGGTGATGGAGTTTCACCTTTAGCACTGTTTATTTTACAACTGCTCTAGCTGGCAATACAGTATCCTCACCTGAAAGTAATTTTTCATTGTTAGAACTACAATCAGCTTCAGACTTGAAAGCTAACAATAGCAAAAGTAGCAATTTGGACTTTTAACACTGAGTCATGCATGCAGGAGATAAACTGAATAGCTCAATATGGTGTACTTTCCCTCTGAGGCCATTGATTACTTTGGAAAAGAGCTAAACCTCTTGTTTGTTCTCTGGTTTAAGTACCCTATAATCCAAGTTGCAGTAAAGCAAAGAAGATGACTTACAGCTGCAGTGAATGATGGGAGGCAAGCTGTCATGTTGTGTTCTAGCTTCAAAATCAGCAAGGCAGGATATCAGCTATAAAGAACAACTTTCAGGGGCCAAGGTACAATGGATATATGACAATGGATATAAACTCTACCACCATTTTATATGAGCATCTTAAAAGATTGAGTCCCAGGAGAGTGCAAATGCTGACACTGAATGTGATAAACCTTTGATGCAGTGACACAGACTACTTGCTTAGGGGTTTTGGCATTTTTTTTTTTTTTGCAAACTTTAAGACAGGATGCAATTTCATAGCATTTTGGGGGGGGTTAAAGCATGGTGCTTCATATATAGCATACGAATGTTCTGTAAGTTCATTTGATGCCAAATGGAAGAAAATTTGCATTTCTGGGGCTAATGTCACAGCAAATCATAGTTGAGAATGACAGGTTCTTCTTTTAACAGTGACCTTTAAGGTCAGCAATGGTATCAGCTTGAGGTTTGAGAAATATCAAAGTATAAAAAAAAAACCTTTAAGAGAGGCATTAGAAATTACTAACTGATCATAGAGGGGTAGGATGATTTGGGGTCAGGAATGCAGTATTGCAAAGCTGCATAATTTTTAACATCAGAGATATTCAAGAACTTCCTTCTTCAAAAACTCCTAAAACTGAGCCTAATTTTATTTACTTTATGAGCGAAAAATCAGATAGCTCCCCCATGAAAGAGCACCACTAGCTCACAGAAGTATCATTAGATGACAATATTAAATTAGTTCATCTTCCCAGTTTTATTTAAACTAGAAAAAGATACTGTTTGGAAAAAAACAAGATGTGTTGTTTCCTCTTGCTGATGGGTAGAATTATGCAAATATCCTTGGGAATCTATGGGAATGACTCTGAAGCCTGAGCTATTTGTGCTTGCTCAGATGGGAATGAATAGTGAAGCATTTAAGCCTGCTACCAGAGCAAAGGAGACAAAGTCTGCTTTCCACTGACTGACATGAACTTCTTTGAAATGATGGAGCGTGAACGATGTGAGTCCAGCCTACACCCAGTAGGCACCTAGTTTGAGGTGGGAAGGATAGAGACAGCAATAACACAGATAATGATCTTGAGTGACTGCATCATCCAGTTGAACTGACCTTCCTGTCTCCTTGGCTGGTGTTATTCCCCTGGGTAAACTAAAGGAGCACTCGAAAATAGTTTTCAAGAGAAAGTACTTCAGTATCATCTGGCTACACATAAGGCTGCCTTCCAGCATTTCCAACAGTAGTGCTGATCTAATGCCCTGTGGATGTAATACTGCAGCAGTCATGCAGCATGGCAACAATTCTCAGGAGATGTGGGGAGTGGGCTGTCCCCTGCTCCTGGAGAGAGTGGGTGGCCTTTCTCCAAATGTGGAAAGCACAGGAGAAGAAAGTACACAATTTCTGCTGAGAAATCAAACTATGGTTGGGCAGAAAAGGTCTGACTGTACAAGTTCATTTGAGGAGGAAAGGAGAGAGGATGCAGGTTAGCTTCGGAAATATGGGACAGGAGCATTACTTGTGGGAATTACGCTATAAGTGGCAGTGATCTTTCTGTGTTTCAAGGTACGTTTTCACACAGAACCACGTCTTCCCATGCTTCACATGATGCAGTTCCAGGCAGCATGCAGTTTGGCCAGAAAAGGGAAGGTTTGGGCAAACTGCCCAAATACTTCTAGTAAAGATTTGCTAATAAAAACTCTCCATTGTGGGTCCATTTTCAGATGTACAAGCGAAGCCACCCTCAGGATAAGTTACAACACTTCGTAGTATCTAAGCCAGCTGTGAAGAGATCTGTGTACAAACATATACGCTCGCATAAGCACT